AATTTTAAGACGTGTGCGGCAAACTCTCACATTGTCCACTAAATACATATAGAAGGCACGATCTCCCACGAAGGTCGGCCCTCTCCCCCCCCCCCCCCCCCCCCTCCCCTACTACTGCTCCTTCACATACTCCTCCTCTATTATCCTGCCTTCCCTTGTCATTATTCCCTCCTCTCCTACATCCGCTTCCTCTTGCTTTGCCTCATCCTTCGAGTGGCTCTGGGTTAGCATGGCGGACTATTGTTGCCCTCTCCAACTTTCTTCTTCACTCCATCCATCCCCATCGTCCGTCCGTTCCCTCCTCCCCCCGTTCTCTGTTTCCCTCCTCTCCTTCCTCCCTCACCTCTCGCCTCATGGCCTCGTGGCCTCAGGCTACATGTGACTCGACTGCAGGCGCTCAAGAACTTGGAGAGCAAGGAAGCGAAGATTCTTGTAAAGATGGAGGCAGCAGAGTTGCAGAAGAGGCTGATGAAGTAACGAGCTGGATAGCTTTGTAGATACCAACAAGAGTCGGAGGAGAGACTAGGGAGAGGGGGAGGGAGAGCGGGGGGAGAAGGCCGAACTTCATGGGAGATCTTGCCTTCTATATGTATTTATTGCTACAATCTTAGAGTTTGCCGCAAACGTCTTAAAATTTTCAAAATTTGCTGCAGAATGTTTGTGAGCAACAAGTTCGGATGCTGATTTATCAGTTTGCTCTTTGTCGCTATGACAGACTTAATATGCCCGCCTGCTGCTTCTCGGCCTGTTGCTGCTGCTGCTGCTGTTGCTGCTGCTGCTGCTGCTTTTGCTGTGTCCCTTCCTCTACTGTCTCGTTCGCGTACAGGTTTCCTGCATTCTTCACGCTTGTTCGTCCTCGAAGCTGACGTCGCCTCTTCGCCAATGAACATTTCACCGGCATGCACGCGCAGAGATGGAGAAGCAGGGCCCCTCGCCATCCCAGCAGAAGGGAGGGTACTGGGATGCTTGCTTGCCAGCATGAAGACGAGGACGAGGACGAGGGCAGCAGCAGATGCCACAAGGGCAAGAGAAGGTCGAGCACGTGCAGGAGGAGGCAGCGGAGGGCGTAATTCCTGTGCAGACGAGTCAACGGACTTGAATTTAGAGGCGTGGAATTCTCACCTGTCCTCCGTCGGTTGACGACGATGAATGATTGTTCACGTCTCCTGCTCCAGCTGCCGACCTCGCATCATGACCCTCCTCGCCATCAAGTTTGTCACTAGCCAGAGGAGGCGCAACGTGTGGCAGGAGGGAGAGGTCGGGCTTTCCCATCGGAAACTCTTCTTCTTCTCTCCAGTTGCCTTGCGTTTCCTCCCTCGCTTCCCTCCCTCCCGCTCCCTGCAAGCTTGGCCCTTCCAGTTGGCAGTGTCCACTACCTTCTGTTTTTCCTGCTCTCCCTGCTTCTCCTCCTCCTCCTCCTCCTTCACTTCTTTGTTCCACGTGCCCGGATTCTCCTTCTCTTTTCTCCCCCAGCTTATCCGTACAATCTTCATCTTCAGGCTCCCGCTCTCGATCCGCCAGGCATTCTTCTACAGCAGCCGTTCCCGGCTCTCCTCTGCATTCTCCTACCTGACCAGCGATCTCTGAGATGACTTGACGTTGAGCGTTGTCGACATCCCTCAATCCAGCATGATCATCCTCCACAGCTCTCTCCCATTTCTCCTCCTGCTCTTCCTCCCCCACCTCATCGTGCTCCTCCTCCTCCTCCTCCTCCTCCTTGCCAAGATTGTCGTCCAGGTGATCGAATTTGACATAATCCCTTGAACAATCGAAGGAGTGCTGCTGCTGCTGCTGCTGCCGCGCCACAACCACTTCCCAGACTCCAACTCGCTCGTCCCAACCAACCTGTAACGTGTCTTTCTCATTCTCGTGTTCCTCCTCCTCCTCGTTGTATTCCAGCCACAGCTCTGCCCCCTCCTTATCTCCCTGCTCCTCCTCCTTCTCCAGCACGATCTCCAGGCTCTTGTCGCACTCTCTCTCCTGCAGGAAGGCTTCCTTGTACGGTCGATTCAGCCGCTTCACTTCCCCCCGCAGGCCAGATCTCACGATCAGCTCCTCGAAGCTCCTGGATAATTCATCCTGCTCCTGCTCCTGCTCCTCCGCCTCCTGCTGTTGTGCCTCGTGCTCCTGTGCCTCGTGCTCCTGTTCCTGTGCCTTCTCCACCCGCTCCTGCTCCTCCACCTTCTGATGTGCCTGCTGCTCCTGCTCCTGCTCCTGCTCCTGCTGCCCAGAATCATTTTTTTGCTCCTGCTTTAGTTCCAATGTCTGCTCTCTCTGCTCCATCTCCTTGTAGTCGTCGACCACTTTCTCAAGTCGATTGTCCTGCCCATTCTCGTCTTCCTCCACATCCCCTGTGTCCTCCTCCTCCTCCTCCTCCTCCTCCTCCTCCTCCTCCTTCGCCTCCGCCACACGTCTGTCTCTTCCTTCCTCCGACCCACCTACTACATCATCACAACATACTACGGCAGAGACTTGCTGTGAAACATCGCCCTCCACCCACTTTTCTCCTACATCCCTCGCCGATTCCTCCTTGCCCAGGACGCGCTCCCCCCCCCTTCCCTCGCAAGGACTCCTTCCAGGAACACCTTCAAGACCGTCAGTCACAACTCTCAACACAGCAGGTCAGTCGTCTCACAAGGCTCCCAAGATCCTGTCAACAGTATCTTTCCTATCTCACAACCTCTCTTCTGCACAGGAGCATACTCCTTTTCCGCACCATCCGCTCGCCCCCCTCTCTTCACAGCGATGGAGTAACTCTGGTCGTCTTCCATCGAACTGCTCATCATTATCGTCAGTCTCGTCTCGCGCCACAACAACTTGACCTGATCTTCCCAAACACAAGCTCCCCTCCTCCATTTCGAACCACCACGATCTCTCCCACGCTGAAGTTGGAACTATCCCTCATCGCAAAGTGCACGTCCTCTCTCCACGTCTGCAGCAAGAGTCACCATCCCGTTCCCAGCACCACTTGTTTCTCACCTCCGGGATGAGCTGAGAAAGTAAGGTTCGCGCTAGTCGCTGTGACAGCCAATCGCGATCTGCCTGCCATCCCCGCCATGGAAGCCCCTCCCCTCCCCGCGTCTCCGTGCGCTCGGGAGAAGCCTCCAGCTCGTCATGAGAGGATTTCTCCTTGTAAGCTGGGAGCTCAGGGAAGGTGAGCGAGACCCTGGGAGCATGCGCGTTCTCAACCATGTTCTCCTTGTTCGACTCTTTCAGCCTCCTGCCCCGCTCACTGTCTGTGCCCACCTTCACCCTCCTTGGGGTTGACCTTGCCTTGAGGCTACTCACAGACTCCTGCATCGAGGCGATCTGCTGCAAGATGTCTTCAACCCCCTCTCTGTCGTAGGACTGCAGCTTGGGACTTATTCCGTTCTCCACCCCCATCAAGTCTTCCACGTCATCAAAGCTACTGTTCTGAATGATCTCCTTGACCTCCCGCACAGCTCCGTTGATGATGTCCTCTATGTCGGGGAGGATGCTCTTGTCCTCCAACGACAGCAGTTGCTCGGCAACTCTGAGGCTCTTCTGAAGGTTCCATGTCCGAATGCACGGGTTCTTCCTGGCCCTAGTGACTACGTCGAGGGGGGTAAGTGGGGTTGTTCCTTGTTCCTTGCTCCAGGACATGCTGGCTAGAGTCTCAGGCCTATCCTACGGCTCCTCTTACAGTGAGGTCTTCGTCTCTTCCCGCTCCCTCCTCTTCTTCTCAGCGCCTCCTCACCATCTCCCCCTGCTTCCTTACCGGCCGCTCCTGCCCTTCACCGACAATTCGAAAAGGCGTGCAACACTACCACCCCCTTCAACCCCTACCCTGATGTTTCCGCTCGCAAGGTGGGGTGTTTTTTTCCTCGAGCTGAAAAGAATGGGCCCAGTGGCCGACGTCAGTCACTGAACCGTCCGGGCCCGGCCCGGCGCTGCGGGGCACCACTGCCAGGCGGCACTGAGAGCCTCGGAACTTTTCAGTTCGGAAATGTGGCACTCACAGCCGGCCCGGTCAGCGTGACCCCCTGCTTCCCGGGGCCCGGCACTCCATGCTGATACATTGCGGATTAGAATGATCCGCCCCTGCGGCCACTCCTGGTAAGTTCCGAGGCTTATTCGGGAGGTTGATCAGACGTCACTGCCATGATCAGGCAGTGTGGCCCGGGAGCGAGCGAGGGGCTGGAGGTTTCAGCTCACAGAGTCATCGATAGTTCAGAAAATTCAAGAGAGCCGGGAGCGGTAGAAAGGTGAGGGAGAAGAGTTAGGAGCAGAGAGAGGGAGGGAAAAATAGTTGGAGGACAGAGAGCTGAAGAACGCCCCCTGCCTACGAGGCTTTTACAGATTCCTGGCTCCCGCCTGAGCCAGTGCCCTCCTCTTGTCCTCTACCGTCCGTATGTTAGTGCCGGCAGCAGCATGCACCGTCATCCCTGCCCCGATCGCCCAGGGGAAGCTGAAGAGCTTCGCTCCGTGGAGGTCAGCTCCTCTCAGGTTCGTCTCCTGCCCAGCCTCGCACGACCCCAGCAGCCAGCACTCTGCGTGATCGAGGTCCGCTCCTCTCATCACCGCGTCCGTGAGGATCGTCCCCTTGAGGTTGCACCCCTGCAGGCTCGCGCCGGTCAAGTTGCATCCTCCCATGTTCGCTCCCACCAGGCTGCAGCCCCTCAGGTCAGCGCCGGACAGGTCGAGCCCTCGGAAGTCCACCCGGTCGAGCACAGAGCCCTGGAAGCTCTTCCCCTGCAGCTTGCAGCCTGTGGCTCCGGCCAGCTTCAACCCGGTCAGGTCGCACGAGGTCCAATCAGGGAGGACGGCTCCCTTCAGCCGCGCCTGCGACAGGTCGCTCCCCTTCAGCACCGCCCCCAGCAAGTTTGCCCGCTCTAGGTGGCACTTTGACATGTCGGAACCAGTCAGGTCACAGCTGGACAGGTTTGACCCTGTCAAGTTCGCCTTTGACAGCTGAACCCCCGACAGCTTCGAGCCCGAGAAGTCCTGACCCCGGAAGTCTGAGTTTGCAAACTTACAGCTCCTCAGGTCCACGTCCTTGAAGTTGAGGCCCGTGGCCCCCGCAAACTTGCAGCACTCAAAGTCCACCTCCACCCACGCCGGCAGCGCCGCTCCCTCCAGCTTCGCGTTGGAGAAGTCCGTGCCTCGGATCACCGCCCCTTGCAAGCTCGCGCCTTCCAGGATGCTCCTCGACAGGTCGCAGTTGGAGAGGTCACAGCCGTCGAGCTTTGACTGACGGAGATTCGCTCTTGACAACTTTGACCCGGAGAAGTCAGCGCCGGCGAAGTCCTGGTGCGACAGGTCGGCTTCCGACAACTTGGAGTTCCTGAGGTCCTTGCCCTTGAGGCTGCGACCGCTGGCATCCAGGAGCTTGATCCCGTGCACGTCAATCTCGATGAGCTCGGGGAGGATCGCTCCGTTAAGTCTGGTAGTCGACAGGTCGACCTGCTTGATGATGGCACCGGAGAGAATGGCTCCGTCAAAGTTGCAGCCTGACAGGTTCGACTGAGTCAAGTTACACCCCGTCAGGTTGCACTCAGTGAAATCAGCATTGCGGAGATTCGCCTGGCTCAAGTCTGCAGCCGACAAGTCGTGGCCCTTGAGCACTGCTTGCGAGAAGTCCGCCTTGCGAAGGTCAGCCCCGACGAAGTTGATTCCCGTCGCACCTGTCAAAACGACTCCCTCGAACGAGCCTGAGCTCCACTCCGGCAACGTGGCTCCGTCCATCGCCGAGTGGCTAAGATCAGAATACTGCAAGTTCGCCCTGCTCAGGTTCACGCCTTTGAGGTCGCAGTTGGTCAGGTTCGTGTTGTAGATGCTGCAGCCAGTCAGGTCAGCCCCGTTGAAGCTCACTTCCGAGAAGTTGCACTCGTTCAAGTTACTCCCTGCCATATTCACCCCCCTCAAGTCTGCTCCCGTCCAGGACGAGTTGTTCATGTCCACTCCCGACAGCCTCAGCCCTTCGGCTCCTGCTAGTTTGATCCCCGACACGTCCCTCTCCGCCCAACAGGAGAAGCAAGCTCCTGCAAGCCTGCTCTGCGACAAGTTGGTCCCGTTGAGCTTCGTCCCAGTCAGGTCCGCCCCTTGCAGGTTCGCCCCGGTGAGGTCAGCGAACGAGAGATCTGCCTGCTGCAGGTTGACCCCGCTGAGCTCCTGACCCCTCAGATCAGCATCGCACAAGTTGGCCCTCCTTGCGCTCTTGTCCTTGAAGAAGCCGCTAGTGCCTGACAGGCAAACCCCCTGCAGGTCGTAGCCTTCCATGTCGGGCATGATCGCGCCCTCCAGGTCTGAGCCCGAGAAGTCTGTGCCCGTCAGCTTTGCTCCCGTGAAGTTCGCTCCTCGGAGGTTACAATTCTGCAGCATGGCGAAGGAAAGGTCACAATGGCTGAAGTCCGCCCCCTCCAGGTTCGCTCCTTCCAACTTGGAGCCGTACAGGGATGCTCTCTCAAGACACGCCGAGGAGAGGTTGCAGTGAGAGAGATCTGCGCCGTTCATGTTGCTGCTCTTCAAGTTCGCGCTGGACAGGTTCGCGCGGTAGAACAGTGATCTGCTCAGATCTGCCTTCTGGAGATCCGACGACGACATGTCCGTCAGGGTCAGGTTGCAGTTGCTCAGGTCGACCTTTGACAACTTGCTCTTGTGCAGGTTCGACTTCTCGAGCTTGGAGCCGGACAAGATCAACTTGGAGAGATCGCAGCTGGACAAGTCGCAGCCTGTGAGGTCGACTCCTTCCATCTTCACGTCCGAGAAGGTAGCGGAGGCGAAAGTCGCATGCTGGAAGCTAGCGTTCCTCATCTCGCACCCGACAAACCTTGCCTTTGTGAGGTTTGCTCGTTCGAAGTTGGAGTCGTTCATCACTGCTCCAGAGAAGTCACACGCTGTCAGGTTGCTCTCCGAGAAGTTCGACCGCAGAACGCGGGCCGCATTCAACTTGACGTTGCTCAGGTTCGCGTTGACAAACTGCGCGTCACTGACTTGAGCTCTGTTGATCTTGCAGGCAAACATGTTGCAGTAGTTGAAGTTCGCGCCACAGAGGTCGCAGTCGTCCAACACCGAGTCTCTGAAATCCGCCCCCTCGAAGCAGCTGGAAGACAGCTGAGAGTGCGTCAGGTCACATTCTGACAAGTTGGCACTCCCGAAGTCTCCGTCGTTGAGTCTCGCCCGGGTCATCACAGAGAACTGCAGCATGATCCGCGAGCAGCTCGCCTGGCTCAGGTTGCACTGGCTCAGGTTCGAGTAGCTCAGGTCCGCCCCCTCCAACTTGGCCCCTTCCAGGTTGGCGTCCGACAGGTCGTTATAGGAGAGGTTACAGCCCTGCAGCTGGGCTCCCTGCAGTCTCGCCTGCTGTAGCATCGCCTTCGACAGGTTCACGTCCATCAGGCTGGTCCTGCTCAGGTCGCAGTTGAAGAGCTTCGCTCCGCTCAGATCCGCTCCTCCCAGGTTTGCTCCACTGAGAATGGTGTCAGAGAGGTCGCAGGACGACAGGTTGCTCTCCGTGAGGTTCGCGTGCGTCAGGTCTGCCCTGCATAGCTTCGCTTCCGACAGGTCTGCTCTGCTCAGGGTGGACATGGACAAGTTCGCGTCGCTCAGGTCACAGCGACTGAAGTTGGTTTGGGCGCAGGAACTTGAGACGAAGGAGCTTCCTCGCAGCGTCGCCATGCGGAGGGTCGCGCGATCGAGACGAGCTCCGTCGAAGCAGAGGTTCTTGAGGTCCAGACCCTGCATGTTCCACCCGCACAAGTTAGGAGGGCTAGAAGACTGAGCGAGAATCATCATCAACTCTCCACGTTGCACGTCAGGCTGTTTGCTGAGCAGATCCACCACCACGTCCAGTTCTCGCTGCCTCGATGCCTCCATGATCAGATTCCTCAGGTTCTCCTCCAAGTATGGGATCTTCCCAGCCCTGAAGAACTCCAGCCACACCGGCCATGGCGTTGGGTCTTCATCTAGAAGAATCTCCATCCCCTTCTCTGCTTGCCAGGCGGGCACAGCAGGAGAGGAGTGGGAGGGAGGCATCAGAGAGAGGACATGCTTGAAGGGAGCGAAGCCGAGCTTCGCGCCATGCCGCATCGTTTGCTCGCTCACGTCGAAGCGCTTCCCGCATACCCACAGCGTTGCCCCGTGCATGGCCACGAAAAGGCTCTAGAAAGGGAAAAAGGAATGGGGTGCATCAGGGGGTAGGGGTAACATAGTGGTGGAAAATTAGGGGGTAAGGGTAACCATTTCGAAGAATGAAGGGGTTCAAATAAGGTAGAATTGTAGGGTAGAGGCAGTGATGGGATTATTATGGGAGGCAGGTGTTGATGTAATGTGGGGTAGTGAATCTGGGGTGGGTGTTGCAACCCAATAAATAAAGGCACAGGGAAAGCAAGGAAGAGGAGGAGGGAGGGGAGAGACGAGGAGAGGAGAGGAGAGGAGAGATAGAGGGAAGCAGACCCGAATCTTTGATCGGATTCAAGCTAGATACAAGATTGAGTGAGTTGATCAGTGCTGAGTTTCTTGAGGATGAGGTCAAGTTGTAGTCTCCTCCTCCTCCTGCTCGTGGTCTCAAGCGCAACCTGCTTCCATGTTCCTGCTTTCTTCCCATCGACAAGAGCGCACATATCAAGGCGAAGCAGATCAGTTCTCAGGCAAGAGATTGTAGCTTCTGAATCTCTAAGGCGTCGGGAACCACCGAAGCCGATGGACAAGGTACATTCTCGACCCCTCGGACCTGCTGCTCATGTTTCGCTCGATGCAGTACAAGACAGAGCCAGTGGGCAACAGCCTCCCCAAGGCTGACAGCGCCAAGCTTGGATGGAGCAAGTTAGAACCCTCGCAGTTTCGTCATCCTTACGACACTCAAGCGACGGAGGCCTTGCGCCGTCTCTTCCCCTTTGAGTTCCTGGTCAGGCAGGGCATGGGGGGGGTGATCGAGCAGGCCATCTTCCTGGATAACCTGTCGAGCGGGGTCAGGGTAGGGCCCAACCAGCTGCCCAAGATCTACAACAGGTGAGGGGAGGGGAGGGGCAGAGGGAGGGAGGGAGGGAGGGAGGGAGGGAGGGAGCAACTGAAGTGTTTTAAAGCCTCGTGGAAGCCAAGAGAATCCTGGCCCTTGACATTCCCGTGGATGTCTACGTGAAGCAGAATCCTGTTCCCAATGCCTACACCATGGCGATGCAGGTACAGCATGGCGGTGCTGGAGCTCGGTGAGCTGAGGGCGGCGAGCAGGGGAAGAAGCCCTTCATTGTGATCCACAGCGCGTTGATCGAGCTCATGTCTCCCCAAGAGCTGCAAGCTGTGATCGCACACGAGCTCGGGCACCTCAAGTGCGAGCATGGACTGTGGATCACGGTTGCCAACATCATCACCAACTTCGCTGCGCAGCTGCCAGGCAAGGAGGAGGAGCGGGTTGCCCCAGTTCTCGTCCATGACATGACGTGGATTAGGGCTGGGGAGGGTCCTGTCGGAGGTCATGTCAATGTCTATCATGCGCTGGCTGCAGTCAGCGGAGTTGTCCTGCGATCGCGCCTCTCTCCTGGTCTCGCAGGTCAGCAGTTGCTCGCTCCTGGTCCTCGCTCTGGTCCTCGTCTTCCCTTTCCTCCTCGTCCTCCCCGCCCCCCCCCCTTGCTCTCTCTCTCTCCCCACCTCTTCCCCTCCTCATTTTCTGTCAGGACCCGCGGGTCGTCGTCTCCGTCATCATGAAGCTGACTGGAGGATCTGCGTCGTTTGCCGGCGAGCTCAACCCGGACGCCTTTCTGAGTCAGGCGCGAGAGTTTGAGAAGGAGAGGTGCGACTCGCTTCCCTCCTGCCCATCGCCCTCACCTGCTCCCCAGCTCGAGCTCCTGGGTTGGCAGGCAAATGATGAGCAACGCGGCTCAGATGCTGACCCATCCCCTCCCTGTCACCAGAGTCCGCGAGCTCGACGCGTGGTCGAGGTCTGCAGAGTAAGTCCTACCGTCCTGCCGCCCATCCGTCCTCTTTCGTCCTTCCTGTATCTTCTGCCGCTGCCTTCCTTTCCCTACCTTCTCTCCTGCTCCTGCTCCTGCTCCTGCTCCTGCTCCTGCTCCTGCTCCTGCTCCTGCTCCTGCTCTCCTCCTCCTCGTTCATTTCTCAAGATCCTGCAGGTACAGGAGGCTGATGCTAACAGGGAGGCCGATTGCGAGCACAGCAGACTCAGCCAAGTGACGGAGGAGTTGCTGCTGCTGTTTTTGTGCCCGCAAACCCGATGCAAGTCACAGACTTGGTGCGGGAAGGGAGTGTTTTTTCTATCTCAGATTACAGACTTTGACTACACCCTCCTCCTCCTGCCTCTCCTCCCTCCCGTTGACTTTCTCCTCCTCCTCCTAGACCTCAGCAAAGAAATCCGCGACCTTGCAGCTCTTCACTGGATGGCCCAGCAGCCCCTCCAGCTCTGTCGCGTACCCCTCCCCCTTCCCTGCCGGGCACACCAAGACGGTGCAGCGATTTCCCGGCTCCAGGAAGCTCTTGAAGTACCTATCGGTTCTCAGGTCAGCTGGCCATTTTTGTCAGCATGCGCAGCTGGGCAGCTGGGAACCTGTTGAAGACTCTTCGCAGGTCAGCAAGCGACACGCTCTCGATTGCCTGCGTCTCTCTCTCCATCTCGTCCATCGGCTCGGTGACGCCCCAGAAGTAGGCCTGCTGCTGCGTCAGCCCCTCCTCCGCTCCTCCCCTCCCTTCCTCCTCCCCTCCCCTCCCTTCCTCCTCCCCTCCCTTCCTCCTCCGCTCCTCCCCTCCCTTCCTCCTCCGCTCCTCCCCTCCCTTCCCTTCCTCTTCCCTTCCTCCGCTCCTCGTTCCCTCCTCGATACTCCTCTCGTCTCTGTCGTCTCTTCTAGTCCGAGCCCTATCTGATCTTCTCATTCTCACCCTCATATATCTTCCTCTCTCCTCCTATTCTGCCCTTCTCTGCCCTCCCCTCTCCCTTCCCCTCCATCCCTCCCTCTGCCTCCCCTCTCCCTTCCCCTCCCTCCTCTCCCCCTCCTCTCTCCGACCTTGGCTGCCTGGCTCGCGCAGGAGGAAGGAGTCGATCTCCTCGAATGGACCGAGAACAGGAGCGACGCCTTAGACTCCTCCAGCACTTTCCTCATGTGCTTCCCTGCTGCCTCCCCGGCTCCTTCCCCAGCTGAGCCCCCACCTGCTGACATCTGCGCGTCACAAAGAGGAGCAGAGCAGGGAGCAGACTTACCCTCTTCCTGGCGCTCGGCCTCCTCCACCTCCTCCTCAACCTCCTTGAGGATTGTGAGAAATTCTTCCAGCGCCTGCGCAGGAGCCGTGCACTCGCCGAGGGAGAAGCAGAGCTGACCCGCCCATGGCAGCACCTGGAGGGTGGCAGCTCAGTGGGAGGGATAGGAGCGATGGAGCAGAAAGAGAAGTGCGGAGAAGTGAGGGAGGAGGGAGGAGGAAGGCATCTGAGTCTGACCTGAGTAGAAGGGGGAAAGGAGGTTGAAGGGAGTGGGGACAGAGGGCAGAAGGGGAGGGAGAGGAGGGAGGAGGGAGGAGGGAGGAGGGAGGAGGGAGGAGGGAGGGAGGTACCTCGAGGAGGGAGTGATAGGCGAGACCCTTTCCTCGGATGCGATTCCAGAGGGGGCCTTCCGACCGAGACAGAAGCTCGGCGAAGAGCATCACCTGTTGTCCGTCACAGGAAGAAGTAAGGAGAAGAAGCGACAAAGACTGAGGAAGAGATAAGGAGAGGATGGAGAAGAGGAGAGTGGAGGAGGTAGCAGCGAGTAGGTAGAAGGAGCAGGAGCTGATCAGTCCAAACCGGGAAGAGGTCGTCGTCGAGCTTGTGGAGGGAGCAGGGGATGACGAGCTCGAGGTAGGAAGAGTCGATGCCCTTGAGCGACACAGCGACTGCATGCTCGACGACGTTGTTGCGGAGGGGACCACGAGTGAGGCAGACGCTCTCCCTCCTCCTCCTCCTCCCCTTGTTCTCCTGCTTCATGCCAGGGTCGTCTAAGGACGATCGCTTCCTCCTCTTGTCCTGCCCCGAGAGGGTCAGGGGCCTCTCGGTGCTGGCGAGGAACGAGGTGCCAGTGCGCATGCTCGAGAGGAAACGCTGACAAAGCTCGTCGTCGGTAAGGGAGGAGCAGTGCTCTGCGGGCAGAGGGGCGATGATCTGCGCGAATCTCGCGTTGCTCTCCTCCTCCTCCGACACGATGAGGCTCCTCAGCGTCTTCAGATCCTCCACGATCCTGTCGATCTCCGTCTTGTTGCCCTTGCTGCGGTCGGACAGGGAGGAGGAGGAGGAAGAGGAGGAGACGTTCGCTTCGTCCCCTCCTCCCGTGAAGTTGCTGTCTCTGCAGGCCGTCAGCTGGCGGGCGAGCTTGTCGATGAAGGGCTTCTGGGTGAGGAGGGAGACAGCGCGCACGTTGCTCATCTCCAGCTCCGAGGAAGGTGACCCGAGCTCGTCCTGCAGCTGAGAGTTGGTGAGGTAGATCCGCACGCTGCTGCAGATGGTCGAGCCTGAAGGCGGGAGTCAGCATCAGGAGGAGGAGGAGGAGGAGGAGGAGGAGGAGGAGGGAGAAGAAAGGAGGAGAGAAGCGACGAGCTCGAAGCTAGCTGTGGGTGACAGGTCGAGCAGGTTGAGGGAAGGGAACGTCGCCCCCAGGAAGGAGGAGAGGAGGAGAGGAGGAAAGGAGGAGAGGAGAGGCGGAATAGCGAGGAATGATAAGGGAGGCGGAAGAGGAGGGGAGTAAGCCAAAGATAAGGAGAGGAGAGTAGCAGGAGCAGACGGAAGTAGACTAAGGAGAGGAGGCGAGAGAGACCGTCTCTGAGGGAGGAGGTGATGTCCTTTCGAAGGTTCTTGAGGCAAGTCTTCACTCTCTCCTCGTCTATCTTCGTCTCGTACACAATCCTCTTCATCCAGTCGCAGAGCTTGTCATACCCTCCTTCCTGCGGCAGCGCCACCTGCCATCCAAGTCATCCACAACCTCCTCGTCCTCGCCCTCGTCCTTGTCCTCGTCCTCGTCCTTCTCCTGTCCCTTCCGGTCCTCTTCCTCCCCCCCCCTCCCCCCTCGCTGTCTCCTCCTCTTCTCTCCTCCTCCTCACCCCGGACACGAAGACGAGTTGGGGTAGAACGGAAGCAAAGAAACCGGATCCCGACCATCCAACGGCGCAGCCCATGGACACCGTCTCCTCCAGCCTTGCCTTCACCGCAGCCTTGCTGTCCAAAATCCTCCCATCCTCTCCCTCGATCCTCGTTGAGAACAAAATCTCCTGTCCAAGTCTCATCAGTCCCGGCACCAGTTCCATCGAGCTCCTCTACAGTCCTCTGCTGTTCCATACTCTTTCCCCCCTCCCCCCCCCCCCCTCCCCCAACCCAACAAACTTCTCTCATTTCCTCCAATCAATCCATGCTCTCCTTCTCGCCCCTCCCTCTCCCACCTGCAGGAGGACGAGGTAGGGGCGAAGAGGAGGAGGTACCCCCCGGCAGTCAAACCCTACGGTGACGGAGAGGAAGGCGGTGGCGGTGCGGACGAGCTGAAGGGTCATGGGGCTGCCGTCGGGGAGGAGGGAGAGAGTTTGGATCTGCTGCTCGAGGGGGAAAGAGGAGATGCTGGAGGGCTGCGGCATGGAGGGAGGGGTGAAGCCGGGAGGAGGGAACTCTCCGGGGACGTTAGCCTTGACTGCATGCTCGCTCCTCCTTCCTGCCTCCAGCAGCCCCTCGTCTCCGAGCTCCTTGCGCTGCCAGAAGCTGGAAGTTAGGAGGAGGAAGTGAGAGTGTGGGATGTACGATGGCAGAGGGGAGGGGGGGAGGGGTGGGGGAAGGAGAGGAGGAGGTGGAAGCAGAAAGGCCAACCCGTTGCTCGAGCAGCTTTTCCTCCTCCTCCGCTCGCTGTGCCACCAGGTCGTGACTTGGCTTCATGATCACCTCCGCCCGAGGAGCCTTCAGTATCCACTGGTCCAGCAGGTCCATCTGCCCAGCAGGTGTCAAGGAGAGGAGAAAAGGAG